CTCTCGCGTCGGGTGCGGGGAGATGGAGAGAGAGGGGGGAGAGAGTGACGGAGAGAGGCAGAGGGAGAGATGGTGAGTGGGTGGGACAGTGAGAGAGCGATGGAGAGAGAGACAGAGAGGCAGAGATTTCGAGAGGCAGAGACGGAGAGAATCAGAGGCAGAGTTCGCTTTGCCACGACCACAGTAGAACACCGATCCCTTATAACGCTCTTTAGCCTGGTGATGTTTTTTTTTTTACGACTAAAGTTTAAATCATGAGAGTTTGAAATACAGAGGCACAGAGAGATAGAGAGAGAGAGACAGACATTCATACATACAGGCAGACGGCGACGGTACCAGGCAAACAGAAGTATAAGGGGACAGGCGGACGGCGAGAGTAACAGGCAGACAGACAGGCATACAGTTCGCATGTGAAAGAAGACACGCAGAGAGCGAGACAGCGGAGAGACAGCCGGAGGGAGGATGCTCGCCGAGCAGGGCAGCACTTCAAGAGCGGGGCCACGAGGTTGGGGGGGGGGGTCTCTCCCCAGCGAACACACAGACCCCCCCCACCCCATCCTCCATGCCCCCCCCCCCCCACAGAAAGCCCAACGTTCTATCGGAAACAATAATATACCCCCCCCACCACAGCCCCCCAATGTCCAAAAGAGAGAATACACACGCGCACGCATGGTCGGACTGTGTCGTCTCATCCGCACTGGGTTCAACCACCACCACACTGCAGGTCACAACATGCCACTCACCCACTCAACTAGAGTACTCAATCACTCACCAACTCACCCAACCATCCACCCACTCACCCACTCACTCATCCACTCAACTACAGTACTCTATCACTCACCCACTTGGTCTACCACCCACCCACTCACTCAACCACCCACCCACTCACTCGACCATCCACCGACTCACTTACCCACTTAACTACAGTACTCAATAACTCACCCACTCAAGCAACCACCCACTCACTCACTCACACACTCACCCACCAAACTACAGTACTCATTTACTCACCCACTCACCCACCCACCCACTCACCCACCCACTCACACAATCACCCACCCACTCACACTGTCACCTACCCACCCACTCACCACATTGCAGGTCATAACCCCTTCTGCTTTCTCCCTCGCACTGCCCCACTCTGGAATCCCCTCCTCCCAGCACCATCGCCTCTTCCCCACCCAACCTCTTACAACACCAACAACAACCACGCTCAATTCAACAAACGCGTGACGCTCCTATCTACCGCACCTCTGATGCGAGCACTGTTTGTTGCTGGCCGCGTGTCGGTTATGTATGAGCGAGCGAGTGAGAGCATGCGTGGATCGGTGGCGCAGTGGTTAGCGCACCGCGGCCTTCAGGTGGCGACCCAGGGGCCGCACGGGGGCCACTTACAATGGCCCACCGAGAGATATGCCCCTCCGGGACGCACGGAGGTACGCATGAGTGAGATGTACGGATGTGTAGCGTGCCACGGTGGCGAGATGTTAACTCCCTCGCCTGCTATACAGGAGGTCGTGGGTTCGATCACAACCCTGACGCCTGCTGTACATTTGGAGTTTGCATGTTCTTATCTTCATGTAGCGATTTTGAGGGTAGCTGAAAGTGATAGGGATGGGGTATGTATGGGGAGGAAGGTTAGTGGGTAAGAGAATTACAGCGGGTACCTAGGGATGGAGAGAAGGACGCTCCAAGGAGGAGAGTAAAACGAGACAGGGAGGGTGCTACTTGCTTCATATGGAGGGGAAGTTCGCTCCAGTGCAAGGGAGCAAGTAGGGAAAAGCAGCGGAACCGGGATTGTGCACAAGGAGCGGGGGGGGGGGGGGGGGGGGGGCGGTGATGAGTAGGAGGAGAGATTGAGAGTGGAGCGGGTGGGAGGAGATGTAAAACGAGACGTGGGATGCGAGGTAACGGTGTGGGGCAAGGCCACTGAAAGATTTAAATGCCAGCGTGAGGAGCTCGAATAAACACCGTGAGTAGATGGGGGAGCCCGCGAGAAGGGCGGGGTACGGGGGGAGCAGTGTGATCGGTTGTAAATTAAACGTGCGGACGCATTTTGGATCCGCTGTAGTGGAATGAATGCATCGGCTGGGAGACAGAGGAGTGGGGATTTTTATTCCGGGTCGTTCGGTTTTTCCGTTCCCATTTAGAAACATGCTTCTATAGTATTTGGATGCAATACATTTTCACGTGATGAGCCATTTTGTTCCGCTATTATATTTAGCTGGGTGACTTTTGAAAAAGAGCCATCGTAGCTCAGTGGGCCTGACCTGGTAAAATAAAAATAGTTTAGAGTTTTTTTTATTGTGTGTTGAACTTCATTCACAAGCCAACCGTGCTAATCGGAGGTGCGGGGGGGGGGAAGGACAGCAAACTAAACACAACAAGCAGTTCTACATGAATGAGATTTCAATGTAGATGCAAAAGAGCATTGCTACAGTGGCTTCCTAATATCGGAAGGGAGAGCGTTCCAGACGTGCCGCAGAGGCGCATCTGAAAGCGCGCACGGTGCAGTTGGCCACCTTTGTTCGACGGTCAGTCAACATCTGCCGCTGCTGCTTAGGATGACCGGAGTTCCCCTGGTGATGGTTTATCCTCCCTTGACGAGATCCCAGAGAGAGAGACAAACAAGGAAGCAGTGGAGAAGAAGTGGAGAGGAGTGAAATGAAAGAGACAAACAAGAGGATGCCAACTAGATCCTAAAAAATACCGGCCCCGAGAGATGGCGACGGCTTGCTGGGGAAGGAGGGGGGGGGGGGCGGAAGGGAGGTTGCACTTCTCCGTCCATCCAACAGTGGATAGATAAAGCCCGTCCAACTTGTACAACTCAGAGCCGAGTTCGTTGTTATCCTCATCACGAGACCAGCCCTCACCGTCCAGCCGCCACCGTGTTTGCCTAGGGCAGGGAATGGGCGAGCGGGCGGGCGCCAGAGTTTCCCCGCGACGTTTGCGCAATGACCAAGTGGCTGTATAGCGGGGTGGCTGCTGCCCTGACGACCCTGTGGACATCGGACCCACGTTGGGATCCACACCTCCTCATTGTTCGAACGGCACAACAGCAACCGCCTCCGCAGTTTGATGTGGGGGGGGGGGGGGGGGTGGGGGACACACACACACCGAAAGCGCAACCTCAAAACGCCGCGGCTGACGTCATCACAGGCGTTGCGCCGGCGTGCTAACCGCTGCGCCGCCGCTCCAACCCGGGTCCTCAATGGCAACGCCGCGGATTCGTCAAAAGCGCTCGCCACGTGACGTCGACCAACGCTGCCCTGCCCGTAGCGAATGAAAATAACGGCGGTGTAAATACGGCGGCTGTGGCGGCAATGGAATGCTGATGACGATGCTAAAGAGCGAAGACGACATAATACGACCGTGACAGTGGCGATGCTGACGGTGATGTGATCACTAAGATGCTAACGATGATCATGACAGAATCAGAATATGTTTTTTGTACTGGAGCAATCCGATGAGCTATGAAGCTCTTGTTCACACATGTCCAGTCGGTGCGCAGCTCAGAACGGTAAGAGTGCAAAGTATAAGAAAGGTAAACAAATAACAAAAAATATATACAAACAGAACTAAACTATATATTTTTTTTATCTTACTAGGTAAAGCCCACCGAGGTGTTCACTTAATTTTCAGAAGCAACCTGGCCACAAAAAATGATGCACCAACCAAGTGGCTTATCGTGTTGAAATGGCGATGATGTGACCACCGAGATGCCAACGATGATTATGACGATGAGTTGTTCGCGATAGAGCCGCCCTCCGTTACGCCGGGCACTGTTAACATCGCATCTCACCTCTTGAACATGCCGAGAACACCTCCAATGGGAGCCGTCCCTGTGCGGCGCGAGGCGACTCAGCGCCCTGGCATGCGAGCGGGCATCAGGCTGCCCAGCACGGCGGCGGTGACTGCCGCTGCAGTGCCGTGCATGATCCCAAATGAGTGATTTGCGGGGTGGTTTTTTTGGGGGGGGAATTTCGGCAATTTTATTTTTTAACCCGTGACACCAACACACGGACGGCCCTCTGCTCGTTTCTAACGGCGCCGCGGGCTCTCTCGCGTCCACCCACCAGCGAGTGACGTGGATGGCCCGGAGCGTTCAGTAGGTTAATACTCGCAGAGACGCAGCGTTGGCCGGGGCGGCCCACCAGAACCGAACCGCGAGCTTCTGCAATGGCCGGTGAAAGGCGCTCCCCCCGGCTGGGTCACGGCATCGGCACCCCAAAGGCAATGACGATGGCAACAACGATGGAAACAGCAATGGTAACCATGAGGATGACCACAATGGCAATGATGGCAACAATGGAAACAACAATGGTTACTATGACGATGACCACAATGGCAATGATGGCAACAATGGAAACAACAATGGTTACCATGACGATGACCACAATGGCAATGATGGCAACAATGGAAACAACAATGGTTACCATGACGATGACCACAATGGCAATGATGGCAACAATGGAAACAACAACGGTTACCATGACGATGACCACAATGGCAATGATGGCAACAATGGAAACAACAATGGTTACTATGACGATGACCACAATGGCAATGATGGCAACAATGGAAACAACAATGGTTACCATGACGATGACCACAATGGCAATGATGGCAACAATGGAAACAACAATGGTTACCATGACGATGACCACAATGGCAATGATGGCAACAATGGAAACAACAATGGTTACTATGACGATGACCACAATGGCAATGATGGCAACAATGGAAACAACAATGGTTACCATGACGATGACCACAATGGCAATGATGGCAACAATGGAAACAACAATGGTAACCATGACGATTACCACAATGGCAACGATCGCAACGACGATGGCAGCGGCAACGACGCGGCGGCCAGGGGTGCCAAACGATGGCCGACCACAACGATGACCACGTGGGACTAGTGACGTCACAACGGCGATGACGTCACAACGGCGACGACGTCATCGACAACGTCGTCGGCGGCGTGGTTCCTTCACCTCGCACACGGAGCCGCGGTCCTCGCTGGGGCAGCTTGGCCTCCTCTCGGCGGCCGGGCGGGGCGAGTCCAGGCTGTGCGAGCGCTGGTAGCGGCTCTCGTACTCCTCCAGCTGAGCACGTGCGCACACACACACATACGCACGCACACACACACACACACGCACACACACGCACGCACACACACACGCACGCACACACACGCACGCACACACACACACACACGCACACACACATACGCACACACACAGAGATGCAGGTAAAGGTCCCCTGCCGCACGAGGGGGGTGGTGTGGACAGGACCACACCCGTCCGCCTTTGTCTCCTCAGCGGTGATGCTTACGCACCGCACTGGGAACTCTGCTCTTGTAAGGGTAAGGGGAAGCCGATGGCTGGTTCAGATATTTGCCACTGATGTTGGCCGTGAGTGAGAATCAAACTTGGAGCACCGGGTGTTGTAGCGCTGTGCGCTAACGACTACGCTACCACTCCCTACACACACACAACGGCCCGGGAAAGCAGACAGCACAGAGCTGGATCTGAAACTTTATCAATTGACCTCTGACCTACATATAGTAGAGGGTAGCACTTCTCACTCACTCTCTCACTGAGAGTAATGTTCGTCACATGATGGTAAAACCGACAATTTTTTATTCTCAAGAGGTGGAATTCAGCCAACTTTCAGCGCAGGACCAAACTCAATGTGATGGGTTTTTTTTTTTGTCCAGATATTGATCGTTTGGCAGAGACCATCAACTCACGACTAAACTTCAGAACCCGGTTTAAATCACCGCTCAATCTATACAAGTCGTTTAATCCCTGTGTGATTCAATGATTCTCGATGTGAGTCTATGGATCGCTGTGTTAGTCCATTGATCCCTGTGTGAGTCTATGAGTCTCTGTGTGAGTCTATGAGTCTCTGTGTGAGTCTATGGATACCTGTGTGAGTCTATGAGTCTCTGTGTGAGTCTAGATCCCTGTGTGAGTCTATGAGTCTCTGTGTGAGTCTATGGATACCTGTGTGAGTCTATGGAACCCTGTGTGAGTCTATGGGTCCCTGTGTGAGTCTATGGGTCTGGAGCCACTGCTGACTAAGCTGAGACCACAGGCGACCGCCGATTGAGTGCAAATCTCCACGGAGGTTTGCACGAACTACTTTCTGTACCGTCCTGGCGACATCAAAGAACAAGAAATACTTTGACCGGCGGATGTGTATACAGTAAAACCTTGGATTGCGCAGCATAATTCGTTCCGGAAACGTGTTTGTAATCCAAAGCACTCGTATATCAGTTGTGATCACGTGACGCTCGGCAGACAAAGCGTGTACGTGCTACTCGTATTGCAAGACCTCGCTCGTTTATCAAATAACAAAAAAATGTTGCTCGCGGACCAAGTTACTGGCAATGCAAGGCTTTACTGTATATTTATTGACTTGCTCGAGCGCATTGGTCTACTGGGTTTTTATTCTTCCTAGAATTGATCAGAAATTAACAACGGGAGAGTTGACGCGAACTTTTGAAACGTGCCGAAGTTGAGCTCTCGTGCGGCTTGCCGAATCGTCACGCTGCTGTCGGACCGTGGGTGGAGCGGGGGGCGGGGGGGGGGTAGCAGGAGTGGTGGCGCAGCGGTTAGCGCAACCGGCCCCCGCGTTCCACCGCCGCTCACGCGCCAGCATTGGCGGCGAGTGACGGGCTGTGTATGAACCCAGTGCTGGGTTCTCCTCTATAGATTTACTGGGCCGTAAAACATCAGCACAGGGGAGACAAAGGCGGCTGGGCATTGGTGCTGCCCACAACACCCCTTCATTAGGTGCACCGCGCCGGCCTTAACAGGTGTTCGCGAACAGCACTTGCCCCAACAGTGTGATAAGGCTACACGATGGGTGTGGGTGTGTGTGCAGATGTTGGAGTTCGGGTTAAAGGCGACGAAACACCGGCTAACATGAGCGGCGGGTGATAGATGAATGGGTCCTGGCGACCCATTCATCTGAACACAGCTCGTAGCAATGGCTCGTCGCAACACTGGCTTGTGACACACGGACTGCGACACCTGGACTGCGACGCACGGACTGCGACGCACGGACTGTTACGGCACATGGACTCAGTAAAGCAGTCATTGAAGGGAAGAAAATAATAACCCGGAGGGTGGAGACGACGCTTCGCTTGCGATCCACGGTGAGAGACAGAGGAAGAGGAACGCGTGGATCAGAGAGCACGAGCCACGGCCTAGAAGGGACGATGGTGCACCAAAGGTCGAGAATTTACGTACGGATATCGAGCCTCTTACGCGCCGTATGTAGCCGACCGTGGCTAATCGGAAGGGTTGGGAGGGGGGGGAGGAATAATAATAACGGAGTGGCAGCCAAGGAATGGAATGAGTCTGAGAGCACGTCCCACGGGGGAGAGACGGAGCAACGAAATGAGCTCCTCGTGTCTACAGCAGGTGTTGAATCGCAGGCGCTGGCGGCTTGCGGAGGCCTTCGTCCAGCAGTGGATTGACCATGGCTGACGATGACGACGACGTCGGCGACACTTGGAAGGGGCACAAATATGACCCCCCCAGCGGTCCCCCGACGGGAGCGCGTGCCGGAGTGATTTTGAACAATGCGCACGCCCTGCCGCCACTCGTCACCGACAAGTACCGGCAGAATCAATATCCAAACAGAGCAATTACTGCCACGTGCACAACAACAACACCGCCGCCACCACCACCAACCACCACCGCCAACCACCAACAACAGCCGCCATTCGCCACTAAGCGGCGGTGACGTCACCACGGCGCTTGTGCCAGGCTATGTGCACGTTAAGGCCACGTGAAGCGTCGAGCAGCCGCTGGCAGGAGGTCACGGGACGGACCACCACCACAACCGCCAACCGCCATCCGCGCAAGTGCTACCATCATCACTTCCACCACCACCACTGCCGCCGCCGATGGGAAAACACAACCGCCGAGACCTGCCACGACTACAAAGACCACCGCCACCCCATCGCCCCACCGCCACCCCATCGCCCCACCGCCGCCAAAATCACCACCGCCACGACCGCCACACGCGGAGCGACGCTTCCTTAGACTCCGCTGAAGCAGGGCAAGGAACTTTGCCTCTTGCTCAATTAAACCTCGGCGCAGACAACTGTGTGGACTGGTTGGCTCAAACATTCGGGAATGTGGGGGTGGTGGTGGAGGCTTGTAAAGTGCGAGGGCCCTCTCACAACTGCCACCCCTGCAGCCCCCCTCTACCCCCCCCCCCCAACCCCCAAAACTCCTCCACAGCTGTTTAAAGTTTCTCAAAAGCCGAGCGAGAAAATATTTCAGAGAGCGCAAACAGAGAGTGCGTGCCTGACGTTGCACTAACAATTCCCAAAGCAGTCTCCTTCTCCTCGTCCTCCTCCTCCACGTACCCCCCACCCCCCTGCTCCTCTTCGTCCTCCTCCTCCACATATCCCCTCCCATCCTCCTCGTCCTCCTCCCGTTCCGCTCAGAGTTGCAGCGAGAGGAGCGCTAGCGATGTTCCCGGGCGTCTCACCCGAAGCAAGTTGAAAATCGCTTTCATCCTTCGAGTCGCCCGCTCTTCCTGCCCTCCTCCTCCGCCGCCACCACCGCCACCACCGCCGCCACCACCACCGCCACCACCGCCGGGATGAGCCACGCAAGTAACGCTCACTCGCTCAATTGCTCAGTTCCAGATGAGAACCCCCAAAGCCGCCCCTTCCCCCCCCCCATTAGCTCCCCCTGCCCCCACGCGCCCCACCCAAACCCCCCACCCCTGCCTGGCCAATAGGAGTGCCCCCCCCCCCCCGCCGCCGACTCCCCCTCCCCCCCATTCCTGAACCGGGAGCGACTATGTGCGTCCGGTGGCCCACTCACCCCGGACAGCCGAAATTGAAAACGAACTTCTCTTAAACCGCCTGCTGTCGTGCCGACTTTGTCATCCCCGCCCCCCTGGCACCTCCGACGAGCAGCGGTTGTCTCTCCGTACGGCGGTGCGAGAGAAGTTCAACGCGCGGGACACACGGACACAGCCACCAACGCCGGACTCTCAGTCACTCACTCACTCACTCCCCCAACCCCACCCCTTCCCCCCGCGTGAATCGTTCCAACGACAAGAGGAGCGCGTGCGTCGCCTCGGGCAGCCGTCCCTGCGGGGCGCAAGGCGGCTCTCCACACGCCGGCATGGAGACCCCTGGCTCTCGGCCGGCGCCTCCGACCCCTCCGAGGGGACCGGAAGGATCCCTTCTCTACACACGCCGCTGTCGCATCCCTTGGAAATATTCACAGCCACGGGGCTTTGTGGCAGGGGGGGGGGGGGGGGCGGTGGCGGTGGGTGGACGGCGGTAAAATTGGAATTGGGATGAGGACGAAGAGGGGGTGGGGGCCAGGTTAGTGTGGTGGGGGGTGGGGGGGAGATTACATAATAAATAAATGGGCGCCACTGCCGAGGCTCTCGCGGCCGCTGCTGCGCTGGCGGTAGTGGTGCTCAACCAACAAGAACAACAACAGCAGCAGCACTCGTCAACACACAGCACAGGGTGTGTGGCGTCAAAATAAACAAACGCAGCAGGCGACGTTCGCGGGCGACGGTGCTTCTTCACGGCACGTACTGCATATTGTTTGTTGCGCTGTGAAGAAGGGCCGTTGCCCCAAACGCCGGCTGCTACATCCGTCTCCTTCCAGGGCACAAAACCTCGCTGGTCTCGTCAAGCAGCATAAAGCACCACCACCGCCGCCTCGCGAACTCCGGCCATCCTCGCAGAAGCAACAGCAGCAGCGGCGGCTTTTGGCTCAGCCATCGAACAAAGACGGTGGTCGTCGCATCGCGCGGCGCTTTCAGATGCGCTTCTGCGGCCGTCTGGAACGCTCTCTTCCTTCCGATGTTAAGAGGCCACTGGGAGCGATGGCACTCTTGAATCGTCTGACAATTGACAAACTCGTTGTGGAGAATGTAAACAGGACAATAGAGAGGCAGACGTCTCCGCCGTGTATTCTGTCTCCCACACGTGAAACATCAGTGTCATCTTAAATAACGATGCTTATTTTCACGTTGGGCGTGTCAAGTGATCGAGCAGGGGATGACTGCAACCCGCCACGTCGTGACGGGAGAGAGCGAGCCGTTACCA